TAGTGGTTGGTTGTTGAGGCCATATTCATCAAACCCAAGAATTTGTATTAGTCCGTCGCAAATGTTAACTGGTCTCCAGAATGAAAATAGAGTTAATTGACATTTACAGACTCGGTAGTAGATGAAGATAGACGTCCCTTGGTTTTACAGACCTGGAAGTTTATTTCCATGATTTTAAGTGGACGAGGATACATGCCCCTTGGTCATTTCGGCCCTTCTCTATTTTCGCATCGCAGCTGATTGGGGTCGTTCGAATAATTTGGAACATAATTGGTAGTTCAATACAAGAGGCGGAATGAACGCAGCTTTCAAAATGCTGCATCTCTTAATGATCTGGAAGGGTGTGTTGGCGACCTCATATAAAAATTCCCAAATAAACAACTGATAATTAACAAAGTCGATGGGTATTCACCCATAATTTTCATTTCATTTCCACTTTTTGTCTCGTTCGTCATATTCAGAGTCAAAACAGAGGTCGTATCAATAGTTTTCCAAAATAACACTTGTGACCCCTATATTAGAAATTATTAGAAAAACTGACGTTAACGCTTTTGAATACTAGTTTATGAACTTAAAAGAACAAGCTAGAACACAACGAATTAACAGGATCTTAGATACATCAACAATGTTTTTTTTTTCTTAGAAACAGATAACGTACAAGTACAAAGTACATGTTATAGGCAAAGTTCTCAAAGCTCAAAGTTCTCAAAGCATTGTTAATGTTAATTTAAGGGACGAAATTAAACATAACATCGCTAAAATTCAATCGGACCTTTTAAAAAATATATGCACCCATGCACGATTCGTTGTCATGAAAAATCAATTAACTCAGTTATGCTCATTTTTAAACTTCCTAAAACTTACACTCAAATTCATTTTCGAATACCTTTTAAGCGATTATAACTTGCTTAAACTAGTTTGACATAATTGCTGGTGTTTTCTGTGACTGCTTATCATCGGGACATCTTCTAAATTTTAACTAAAGCGTGCCTCTGTTGAACGCGCTCGTTCGTGTCGAGCTGGTTTAAGTTGCCAACGGCCTTTTTGTAAAAAAGCGACCTGACTGGATGGATTTTTATTAACCATGTCTGTAGCTGCGGATAAAAGTGGGTTGGTAATAACGTGCTTATGTTGCAGATTACTATTTGCACTTTGTTTGAAATTTATTTTTTATTGAGACCGTTTTTAAAATGAGCGGATAACCTCAGCAAGGCGATGCTACGAATGTTCCGTGCAAATTGATATTTATGTTATCTTTATTGAAAAAAAAATACTGCGGGGACTGGAATGTTTTCGTTTATATTTAAACGTGGCGTAAATGTAGCTGTGTATAATAATATAGAGAGCATCTTTTTGAGCTAGGAGCTATCTCTTGAATAAATGGCAAACCTTTTTTCCGAAAGTCTTTTAAAGTCAATTACTTCAATTATTCACGGATTAAGTTCCATAGTATGAAGACCCTTAATAGCAGCGCTTAAAAACCAAACGGTCCATAATTTTCTGAGCTATCGGCAGGAAAACGAGGAATTTTAAAAGCAACTTAGTTCGAAAGAATAAAATCCGAATGCGGGAACAATTTGTCGTTGAGCAAACTCTCTATAGATGTCATTTTAAAAGCATTCTCGGGTGACGGCAAACAAAATGCAAATTTCAATAGGTCCGTTTGCCGACTCTCGACGCCTTTTATTGACGTTTCATTTTAATTTAGCACTTCGCATACTCCGAGAGACGATAGCAATACTAAAGTCGTGTTTACGTGGAACGACAATTCCGCAAGAACATAGAGAATTTTCCTCTACTACTAGAGGTATTATAGGAGTCTTTGAAAAGACGGTAAGCTTTCTGTAGTGATTCTAAAACCCAACTGAATGAAGAAAAGCAAACCATAATACTGCTTAAAGGATCTATAATTAATAAATTGGCGATAATTGTGTGCGTAATTATTGGAACAAAATGTAAAAGCGTAGTCATATTATTAACATTACCTCAAACTATATGGCTATCAGGTAATATAGCGGCTGTAAAGGTAAAATTGACGCTCCTCAGGAGGTTATCACATTTTCGCAGAGGAAGGAATGATCGCGCACGCACATAAATTTCACACAAGACCCTATATTTTTCTCCATGTTTTCAGACAGCGATCTCCACACATTTAAGTGCTTTTTCTCAAACGATTTTACGAAATCCGGCCATATTTTAAGGAAATGCGGCGCAAAAATTGGGACAAACAACTACCAGCGGTCATGTTGTTTTTCCGCCTGAAACCGAATTTTGAAATGACTAGCCTGGGCATATTGAAGCTCCAAGGCGTCAATTTTTTTTTAAATTTTGACTTCAAAAGTGCATTGGTGATCATATAGCAATAAGGTTTTCAATACATCCACATTGAATTCTTTTGAAGCGTTTTTTAGTTTCCGTAGTGAAAGTTACATATATATACAAAGCAACAAACTCCAAGCAAGGAATTGCAAAAAAAAATTGGTTTAAATGATTAATTAACTAATCACCTTAAACTTCAAAGACATTAATTAAACCAATGGCGATATAACATTTCGTAAATAAACATTAATTGATTAACTGGGATGCTTGACTACAAAAAATTGGAAACAATCTGTTTTTTCAAATATTAAAAGGTCTTCTGGCAATAACGCTTGCACGCTGGAAATTATCGCTATGCAGTTTGAAGATTGCTTCTTGCAAATTGTTCGATGAGTTTGGTTACTTTAGTTATAATTTTATTTACCGCAAAACTGTGCAATCCGTGGTTTGCTCACCTCGCTTATTTGCGCTGTACTTTTTTTTATATCAGTAAAGCTAAAACCGTTGTACCCCTTTCCAATTTCAATGTTTTTAATATTTTCAAACCGTCATGGCAACCATCTCAAAATTTGTATAATTGTCACTAGCTGACAGTTCATAATGGTGAACTTATTGGTTTCGTTTAGAATACGTTTTAAAAAGGTCACTTGGAAAGTTTCCGACAACTAACAATGATACAAGATATTTTTTTCTATTTTTTTAAAATTTTCTACATAGTCTCCCCATCCAAATAGTACCCAGCGTTTTTCTCCGCGAAATGATTGTTCACGAAGGTGATTGCCTCCTCATTTGACGAAAATCCTTGTCCTCCGAGCGCAGTTTTCAAATGAGGGTATTCGATTAAGATGACGCCATGGCCATTCCAAAAAACAGTCGGCATTACTTTCCCAGACGAAAAAAAGGTTTTTGCTTTTTGATTGTTGATTTAAAATGTAACAAACACTTTAAATCGACATTTCCATAACCTCTGCTATCTCTCTCACTTTAATTTGACTGTCGTTTAACACCATTTGATGAAGTTTATCAATATTATCGTCGGTAGTTATAGTTTTTGGACGTCCCGAACGTTCATTATCTTCTAAGGTTCAAGTTTAACTTCAGCTGCTCAAAATTTCACTGTGGTAAGTAACGGTGCAGAGTCCCCATACACAGAGTTCAACTCAACGTTAATTTGCGCAGCCGTATTGCCTTTCAAAAGCAAATATTTTATAAAAGCTCTATTTTCAATTTTTTCCATTTTCACGAAAACACTCACATAGACTCAATCAAATGACCACGCCTCCAAAATGGCTGAAACTTTGATAAGTAACTATCAAGAGGTGTACAACTACGATCACTAGCTTTGAGTAACTACTGCCGCCATCTTCAAAGTGACCCTTGTAAAGAAAATTTACTACTCTTTTTTATTACTTAACACTTTGGGCCAAACAAACGAATCTGGGAAAACGAACGGGTCTTGTAAATAAAATACAGGATCCTGTTGAAAATAGAAGCGCACAAGTCGACGATATAGCGATGCATAAGAATCACCTGACGCGACACTTTCGAAGAATTTACTCGCAGACAATTTTCCGCATCATTTGCGATTATATTCGCCAAGATTGTGCTCGACTATTTAGCGAACGTTAATGTCCCTAGAATGTAAATAATTGGTAAAATGTCCGTCTATTTGGCCGCGAGCGTCGTTTCAAATTCCGGTAAATGCCACTTATAATTGTTTTGGTTAACGTTGCCCCGGACGTGTTATGGGGATTCGAAACGATGGGAAAACGAGTGAGTTGTCTGTGAGACGACTCGACATTTTTTATACACTCTCGATTAATTCCAATCGTTCCAACGTTACTATTTTTTTATCTACGAAGGGCTAATTGGTACCTTTACTTAGTTCTTTCTCTTGACTTTGATCTCCCTCTCTAATTAGGCGGGTTTTCGTTGAAATTATCTACGTTCTTGCAAATTAACGAAGCAGTGATAAAGTTTACAAGATTCGTTAAGACATGGAAACGTTTATGCTATGCACCGGTTTATGCTGTGTAGATTTCGCCGTCAGATAAGACTTCGAAAAGGTGAAGCTCCATTGTATTATTTGCAAGCGCAGTTGCCGCGTGTATCTTCGAAATCGATGACACAACCACATAACATTATTCTTCGTCACCAATTAATTAATATAGAATTTACTTCACCAAATAAGACTCACAATATGTAGCAGGCACGAGATATTTTATCGATAGGGTTTTGCGACGAAGGATATGAAGTCCATGAAGTCAATCATTTAAAAACTGTTTGAACGCACTAAACAACTTAACGCAAACATCAAACACAATTAAGAAAGCAACGGATAATTCTAAAATGCACTTTGTTGGTAAAGCAAGGATATCGTTTGAGACAAGTGCGGTGCCTTACAAATTGGATACTCGGCAACGCTGTCTGTAACCCCATCATTGAAAGGAGCTCAAACTCGAGTTCTGTTTGGATGCATGCGTGATTAAAAGAGGCTATTTAGTGACTAAAAAGTCGTTTGTAAATACGCATCCGAACAAAAGCTCATTAATTAAAATATCAGGCCGTTTTGCATAATGATTTTTCATATTCTCACTTCGTTCGCCTTTGTTTCGTTCGGCGCATATTCAATAGTGAGTAATAAGTACAAGCTGATTGGTAATTGCATATTTTAATTTCAGAATTTGGCGTAAAACGGAAAAAGCGGAAAATCGGCATGCCATATTGCGGAAGCTTATCCGTGTCCCAGATTTTGGCTCAGCGCGAAAAGCTCACCCTAAATCAGCAGAGCTTCGGAAAGGAACCCGTCGGCAGCCCACAACAGGTGAAACTCATTTTTCTACCGTCAGTTTTGCATTAACTAAATACTTTATACTTTTCAGACGTGGCCCCAAAACGAAAGAAACAACACACAACTTTCTAATAGGCTACAGGGTTTTCAAGATAACCAACAACCTAACCAAATGGTGGTTGGGACCAGAGTAATGAGCGAACCGCCGATAGTACCGATTGAAAATTCCACGGTTGCTTCGCAGTCTAATCTTTCCGATAACATATCTGGTCAACATATACAGCCTAATCAACAGGTGCCGCCGAATAATCCGAATATTCATCTTCATCAACAACATGTTATCGGTCAGAATGGACAAATTATTAATATTCAAGGAGTAGTTCCCCCAAATCCGAACGGTCTGAATCAGAACAACGGCATTGTCTTGCAAAGCCAAAATTTCATGCAAACGCAGCAACAACAGCAGTCTAGGTTATTTGTTAGTGGACAGTTAAGTGAACCTAGTGGACCAGGCAGGCCTAATCTCCAAATAGTGCCTAACCAGCCGCCTAAATCGGATATTCAGCATAGAAGCTTACGGCAGCCACATCAGTTTTATAATCCGCAACATCACCAGCCAATCGACCCCAATAAAGGCGTAAGACCATTTAACCCTGCCATGAACGGCTTTCGCCCACACTCTATCAACAATCAGAATCAGCTAGTCAGTAATTCGATGCAAATGCAACAATATCAAATGCAACAGCAGCAGCAACAGCAGAGAATGCAGTGGCAAGGGCGGGTTGTTCAACAGCCTGTTACTCGTCCGCCTAATCCTCAAATGAATCAAAACGTATATGAGAGAGTTCCTCCTTTGCACCAAAATGCATCTTCTCCAGCTTGGCAGGATGAAATCAGGCGAAAGAAAGTCAGATTTAATAATAAATTTAGTAAAAGTAGACAGTACCAAGTAGTTGATAGTTGCCTGCCAGGTGTAGGATCTTGCCCTAATATAGATGTGAGACAAATATCAAGTGAATCCAGGCCAGTTGTAGTCAGCCAGTTTGCGCACAGCAATCATAGTTCAAGTCCATCCTTTATGGAAGACCCCAGTGGGTACCTCGCCCAACAAACTGCACTTCTTAACAATACCATCAACAGGCAAACTAGTGCGAATAATGCGAGATATGCTTGTAACAGTCCCAATACTCCTTTGCAAAATCCACAACAGAATATGTTAGCGATTTCAACTTCCCAAGTGAACGAGGTGCCTTTACTTAGTAATGTAATGAAATCTCAAATGCACCAGTCGCGATCGAATCAAAATATTTTACTTAAGACTCAAGTGATACCCGAAAATGTTGAACACTCTCACCCACAGTACAATCAGCAAATTAATCAATTGCAGAATCAGCAAAATCTTGCAGACAGTAATGTTTTACAAGATCATATGATTCAACAGTACTCAGAACATTGCCAAGGTTGTGCAACGGGTAATGGCGGTCAGTATATTGGACCCAAGACAAAATCCCATTCCAGGCCTAATAGCCAACCTGGTACTCCAAGTTCATGTGGAACCATAGAGGATCCTGTAACATCATCTTTGTATTCTGATAAACATAGTAATCAACCATCCCCTGATTCGAGACCCATTCAAGGAGGTACTGTCAGTACTAGTAATGTTTCACCTGCTGATGGGAGCCATTCAGATCCACCAACGCCAAACCCGCATATGCAGACACCAACACCTCCACAAAGAGGAGTTGACCAAATCATTAAAGCTGTATCAGTCCAGCAAATTCCACAATCTCAACAAGTACTTCAGATTATGAATCAACCCAGAGAGATCAACAGCAGTATGGGTTATGTAAGTAGTCAAACACCTAAACAGGAGGTAGCCTGCTGTTCTTATCCACATTCGAATGTTTCCCGTGGATCCGAGAGAGGTTACATATCAGTTGTAACCACTATGGCTAGTGGCAGAACCGTGGGTAGCAATACCATCACTTCTGTTTTGGCTGGAAGAGCAAATACTGCAACAGTTTCTATAAATAATCCAGGTGCAAATCCTCCAGCGTCGAACATCCATGTGACTAATACTGTTCAGTCGCAAGCTTTAAGTGTAAATGTATCTAAATCACCATTGGAAATGGTACAAAGTGTTGTTAGCAGTATTCAGGTGCCACAATCTCAGCAACAAGGGGTATTGGCGTCTATGACACAATCTAGTCCACAGATATCACCACAAATTTTAAAACATTCTCCAACGGGTTTACCTCCAGGACATATCTTGGTATCGTCCAACGGCCAGTTAATAATGGCTAGTGCTGGAAATGGACAGAATAATGTAATGGCACCTCCTCCTCCTAAAGTTGTGGCTAATCCTAACTCCATGCCACCAATCTCAGTTTCACCTATGATAACTAATGTTACAGCCTCGGTAGCACAGGTTATACCAGCAGTGGCCCAGCAGGTTCTTGGCCAGCAAACCGTGTTGGTAAATGCCTTACCAACGCCATTTGTACTACAGCCAGGAGTAACTATGACTATGGACGGAATGACTGTAGGACAAAATGTTCAAATTCCTCAGTTGGTTGCTGGAAATGTAATTCAGCAGCCTATACATTTAGAAAACTCAGATCCTAGGAGAGCCGCTACATTGTTATCACCCGACACCAAGAAGAAAGGTAAAAAGAGAAAGTTGCCATCTCAAACAGTTGCCAGTATGCTACACATCGCAGCGCAGCAAAACTCAGGGGTTGTAATGTCTCAGCAAGGGTTTCCGCAACAAATTCAAATGGCACATAGTCCCCAAGGGATTACTACCACTCCTGTGATGCAGGCACTCACTATTGTCCCCAGTAAAAACGGGGGACCTCCGCAAATTGTAATGAACAGCCAACCAATAACTAACAACAATTTGACCACACAACAGCTGATAACAAATTCCCAACCAGCGCAACAAATTAATCTTCTTCAACCCGTGAATTTAATAAATGGCACAACAGGTGTTGTTCAAAACTTCCCAACAATTCAGCAATTTATTGTCCCTAATCTTGGCAGTATGGTAATGAATGCAGACGGCACCGCCACCATTCTTCAAGACACCTCCAATCTAGGCATGCAGTTGCAAATTCAGAATGTCAACGGTCAAAACGTGTTAACACCTATTCAAAATAATAATATGTTTAATAACAGCCAGGGTATTCTGGCAGCTGGTCCTGCAGGAATGGTTATTCGGGCACCAAGTTCTCAAGGGAAAATTATTCAGCAGCAGCATAGTCCGGGAGCTCAATTTCTATCACCGAATGGAGGTCAATTTGTTGTGAATGGAACTCAATTCAGTGGTCAGCTTAGTCCTCTAGTAGCTAATGTTAGTCCGTCACAGCAGGTGACGTTTAACACCTCCCCTCAACAAATTCGATCTAATAGTTCCATTCAACCAGCTCAGCAAGAGTTTATTCAAATGAATAGCCAAATGGGACAAACTCTTATGGTCCCTTGTAACGCATCATCTGCTAGCATTGCGGCAGCATCGACTAATCAGCATAATCAACAAAATACAACTTTTGTACAACAAAACACCACCATCGTTCAGCAGCAGACAACAATGGTTGCCAACAACCAACAATTGCAGAATTTTCAGCAAAACAGTCAACAAAATCAACATAATGTAGCTAGAACGGCGCCAATGAACGTTGATCAGCAAAATTTTATACTAAGCGACAGTAAACAGATGCAGGCTGTTGTCCTACAACAAAGAAACAGCCCTCAGAATTCAACTTCTAATTATCGTCAGTCGGTTTCGACGCAGACGGCCGTAAATCAAAATGCCCAGTCCGTTACTACAAACACATTTTGTCAAACGTCAACTTTGTCGGCAAGTAGCCCACCCGATACTACAACTTTGAGCCCAGCGGCTTCTGGAGGTCAAAGTCCGCCCACGGCGGATACGACTACCCATTCCGGCAGCACTGATGATGGGCTCTCGCCAGCGCCATCTACCTGCTCCATTACCGGTAGCGATGTAAATTTATCAGGACCTAGGCCTCAGTCTTGTGCTATGGTAAGTATAACCAAATGACATGTATGACGGAGTTTACAACTTTTTTTTTGTTTAGGCTATGGTACATTGCATCTCCAGTAGCGAACCTGATTTAGCTGAATCCAGCACCCAGAACTCTGAACAAGATTGGAGAAAATTTCAGAATCACATGGCCGCGAAAATGACTCAAGAATTTACCGATATAAGTGCTCATATGCAGTATGGCAAGCGGCCTAATGAATTAACGCACGTTACCTTCGCCGAATCTTCGAACATGGTGGCAGGGATGCATTTTTTGAACAAAAAAATGAAGCAAGATGTTGTTAGTTCAAAGAATTATGAGAAATCTGTTCATCAAAGAAAAAACAGTGAAATGGTTCTGATCATGGAGTCCCAAATGAGTTCACCTTTGTTTGATGATGAAGGTATGTCTAGCAAATTCAGTCATATTGATCCCATAACTGAAACTTCTTTGCAAGCTGTTGGTACATGATTTATTTTTGGTAGTCATAGTCTTTTGTAGTGATTGATGCTTAGCTTGAGATGTTTAATGCTTATGTAGAGTAACCAACACAACCAAACACAACTTCATGCTGAATATTATAATGAAAATCTAGCGATATTTTGGGCGGAGATTATGTAGATTTGATTTTTGCATGTAAGCTACAAAATTGGATTAAAAGGGCTTTGTTCAAAAACTTCTAACTAAAATTAGTGTATAAGGTATAGAAAACAAGTTGTCATGCACATTGTTTTTGTGTTAAATTATGTACTATATTATATTAGAACAAGAAGCGCAAACATATGCCAACCAATGTTACAATATTCAACAGGGTAAATGATTTTTTTTGTATTTTGTACGGAATAGAATATGTATAAAGGTGTGGCTAACATTCCAAAAAAATGCGCTTTCCAGAATATTCTGTGGTCGTTAACACGGTGTGTGCTTCCAATATGGATGGTGTTCAGATTTTATTCTTCACTGTACAAACAGTCCCATCAATGTTTTCATTTCGACAGTCTGCTTCATGCTTTCAACACAGGCGGTTGATGATCATTTTACACTTTTTAAAATGGTGTTTTGGGTATGATTGTGGGGCTTACTCCAGATTTTCATGGGCAATTGGAAAATTTGTTTCGTTTTTTTTTTCTATATTATTTATTTTTCCATGTAAGTATGAAACTTTTATAAAAGAGTAGAGGTATAAATGTTGGATATTTTGATTATATGATATCTAAACTTGTGTAAAAATAAAACAAAATTCAAGACTCACTATGCGTACCAGTATCTTTTTCTGTGGGTGATATGAAGTATTTCATTTTTCAATATTAATTTTCAAACTAGAATGAATAATATTTACATTTTATTTAAATCTGCCTGGAAAACACTTAGTATTTTCTGTCCACATCATAGCTTCATTCTAGTTATAGTCGAATCGATGAAACAAAATGCTATAACATGGAGGGAAGCTAGCAATATCTGTTTTAATAAGGGAGAATTTTGTTTTAATATTATTTCCTAATCCATTATTTTATTATATTTTAACTTAATTACCACGATGGTATAAGTTGATGTACCTGATAATTGAGCTACGCTAAATTTAACAAAGGAATTTGAACAACAAGAACTGTAATAGGGGATTGACTTTTACGGACAGAGTATCTGGCAATAGTATTGCACCTGAAAAATCAAGAAATATTTTTGACGCAGCTTAATTTCCAACTTTGCGGTGAACGAGTCTCACGTTTAACGCGCCGAATATTTTTACTCGGAAGGTAAATCCAAAGAAGAATATCGCAAAACCGAATTTGTTGTTGGCGATCTTGTATGGGGTTCCACTAGAGGCTCCTCGGCATGGCCTGGTAAAATCGTCCAACTTGAAAACGGTACTGCGGTGGTTAAGTGGTTTGGCAGTGACAGGTATACGTCGAAACTCGAGGTCGGATCTTTGCACACCCTCACTGAAGGACTTGATGCTCATCATCAAGCCAGAAAAAAATCTCGAACGTGAGTTTTTGGAATATCAGCCACATCATCTCACTTTTCGATCAACTATATAAAGATTTCTTGTATAGTCTTTATTGTGGCAAGGAGATAAGACATGCAAGTTGTTGTGAAGGCTGAATTGATTTTTTAACTGGTTTTAAATCATGACGCTTCAATAGTTTAAGATTGAGCAGAAAGTTGTGTGTGCGTGGATCAATGGTTATTGTTTAAACATTTTTATTTGTTTTTAGTTGTTGAACTATATCATAATATTTAGAATTATTGTGCATGATAGTTGTCGACATTTAACTATAGTTAGTACAGATAAAGACTATGCAAGTTTTCTGTTATTTTAGTTTGAAGCTAGTTCATATAATGCACATTTTAAATGTTTCAGCGGTTAAGTGCGGGTAGTTTTTATAGTCTTGAATTATATTGATTAAGGAAATATAGAATGCGCTTCTATTAATGTTGATTTTTTTAGAAGTCGAAAATTAAGTATGCAGTTGGAGAAAGCGATACAGGAGGCCATGGCAGAATTAGATAAAGACTGCCAGAAGGGAGAGGAAAAGGAATCTCCAAGACAGAAGGCCCCTGGAGTTAGCATGAAGAAGGTACGAAAAATAAAGGCAGGCTTGACACCAAAATAGACAACAGGTATTTTATTATTGGACCAACATCGAAAGAAGTAAAAAGAAAGTGTAGATAATCAATTATAATAACTTAGAAAGTTGTAACGCTTTTTAAATGTCACTATTAAGTTGATACGCGATATGTGTAAATTAAGACAGTTTTTTTTCTTTAAAGGTACATTTTTTTACTTACCCATCACATTATCAGAAATTAATGCATCGCCGTTTAATTATTAAGATAATCTAAATAGAAGTATGACATCTCTAGAATATATTTTTCGTGCACTCTGTGTACCATATATGCTGCTGTTAAAATGGTATTGATTCCTAGGTAATATTTAAACATCCTTTAACAGTAACATATACATTTATAGAAATATTTTTCAAATGCCTTTTTCAAAATGGTAATTATATGTATGCATTAATAAAAGAAAAGTACTTAGGAATATGTATCACCCAAAACATACTTTTAAGCTTCGTAACAGAAACGTTGCAAAACAAATTCACGTAGCAGCCTGTGGAAAGTGTCGTTGGATGGCAGAGTAAATTTGATTTTTGTCTTCAAAGAATTATGATACTTACAAATGGAGATATTTTTGGACGTTGGCAGTGATTGAATGGTGTACAAAGTGTATTTTCTCCATGAGAGTAAAAAATGTTTTCCAAAACTGACTGCCTGAACCCACAATGATATTCTCCACACGCTTAGATTATACCAAGTGTATAAAAAGCGTAACTCGTTTTTTATAGAAAAAAAACTGGGCTTTCAAACAAATGGTGTATATATCGTCTGACCAGCTGTAAAAATTTTATGGAGTCTAAAAACTCAAGTATCACCTTAAGAGTAAGCCTCCCACCTCCTTTTAAAGAAAGCCGCTTGAAAATATATTTTTGAAGAATAATGTAACTAAATAACTTGCATTTAATTTTTTTCTAGTCACATTTCGTAAACGCAAAATAATAGATTTGTGTCGACAATAAGCAAAATGGTTGGACATTTTAGTTTTCGGCACTGTGATAAATTCCCTTCTCTTGTTTTATGATTATTATTAAAGAATATTTAAAGTCCGTTTTTTATTCAGTTATGGCACTCCGTACTGCGCCTACTGAAATAAGTGACGTAGAAGTAGTGGACCAAAAGCTGAGTAGGTGTTTCCGGTGTTATTATTTATTTGAGTACCAATTATGTTTTTATTCGAGTGCTGGATTGTTCAGGATATTGCATTAGGTATAAATAAGGAAAGTTGAAACTGATGTCGCGCCTATTGTCTGTAAAATTTTCAAAAATCTTTTGTTTGCCCTGACCACTTGACAAACTTTTTGTTCCAAATTGGTCTAATATTAACTTATCACATATTCATTCACTCATTCACATAATCAAACAAACTTACTATGAAAAAAAAAAACAATTTTAACCTTTAAGTAATAGTGAAACGTAAGTAATTAAAAATTGTACATTATATTTTTATATAATTATGTATTTATTGTTTATAGTCTTTGTGTTACATATATAGGCGTTTAGCAGGTTTACATATTTTTCGCTTTTTAATTGGATTAAATGTCATGTGAAATGTTTCAAAATTTTGTTCACAAATTAGCCTTTTTTTTTAAATTTGGTTTCACGTGAAATTTGAACCAACAAAGTTTGCAGCACAAGTTTTGTTTAATGTGCTATTAAAATGTATGTATATCCTTTTTTTACATACTTAGCAACATCACGATAACATTTAAGGTGATAATAAAGTTCTTGTTTAACCAGCGGTGAAAGATTTTAAAAATCTTAAAAATTATTACCAGTGTTATTTGTATTTATATTTATTATGTATATATTTTTTAGGTACCTGTTTTGTGTTTGTACAAGTATTGTGCCGCATTCTTGGCACTTTTTCTACATGATTTTTTTTACTACACGACCCAGCACTTTTTACGTTTATTCAATCGCATTAGTTTTACTCCTTGACTACTAATTTAGACGATCTAAATGTATTCATTTTCTTATCGCCTTCACATTTTGGTAGTTCAGCGACTTAATGCTTTTGCCATAACAAGATAAATTCATGACTTTGTATTTCGTACTATTGGGCCAGAAGAAAAGAAAGTAAAAGAGGGAGTACTTTGTATGTAATTGTTTTTCATAATCCAGTGTTAGAGCTGCGCGTCACATCGGAGAGCCATGTGCGGTAGCTTAGATTGAGAAATAACTGTTCTGTATATAATATTGTAATAATATTTTAACTGTTTGGCCTGCTATGTTGTGGTTGAACAATTTCCAATAAATACTGGATTAGATGTTTAGTAGTTTTTGTTGTTTATTTCGTTTTAAATACCTTTTTGAAGTTAAAAAATATAAATTGGGGTGAGTACACACCGCTGAAAAGGCAAGAAATTTGTAAGTTATGAAACGATTCTTGTATTCGATTCTACATATCCGTTTTAATGTTAAAATAGAAAATCAATTAAAACAGGAAACAGGATATGACAGAATTAGAAGGAATCAGACATAAATCATGTCAAATGTCAAACTACAATATAGAAGAAACATAACTACAACAATTTGTAATTTAGTAATTTATTATAAATGTTATACTCAAATTTGGCTTAAAAGAAGGAGATAATACAAAATAAATGGTTAGCCTAACTAATGTCTATACTGTGTTTGCTGACCATGTAAGAACAATGTACCACAAACTTCTGTGATTTTGGGAAACTCGGACGTTGGCTTAAATAAACCAGTTCTTAATATTGTAAATGTTTAGTGAATTGAAAATCAAACTTTTAGTCAAGTTTTTATACTAGTACAATGACAAATTTAGAGGAACTGAAAACCAAAACTGTGCCAAAGTAATTGTAAAGTAAATACTATTAAACAGCACATTAGGTCAGCCACTTCGACCATTTCTGGATCATGAGTCGTATGTTTTCAGTAGATTTTAGCCATAATTTCTGTCACAAGTCATTCAATGTAGTGAATGTATTCGCAACGTTTTGCAAAAAGTTATGTGATTGAAGATGCTGATGCCTTCACAGGGAATGCTAACTTTAGCCTTGAAAATGGTGCATGCACAAATAATATTTTTTAAGAACATTCCATCTTTTAAAAACTTTAACGTTAATAGGTACTCGTTTATTACGCATTCGCTTCGCTCGTGCTAAATGAAACTGATGGCTAAAACAGCGTTTATCAAATATTATAACAAACAATATATGAAATATAAATAACGTATATAAATCAGTAGATTTTAGCCATAATTTCTGACAGTCATCATGTCACAAGTCAAAAAGTGATGTGCTTGAAGATGCTGATGCCTTCACAGGGAATGCTAACTTTAGCCTTGAAAATGGTGTATGCACAAATAATATTTTTTAAGAACGTTCCATCGTTTAAAAACTGAATTACCCGTATGCCCCTAAATTTCACACACTAACCTGCAGTTCCCGTCATTTTATTTCTAAAAAGTGATCGCCTGACACTTCAATGTCCCGTTCAACCTCAAAACTGTCAAATCGACGAACTGTCAGCGGCCACGTTGATGCTGGACGCCGCGATAACTTGCAGTTAAGCTGCGCCATTTTTTTTCTAAATAGCGATTTCCACACACATCCAAATACAAGGTCATTGGTTAAAAGCGATATGCCAAAACGACTTCATTTTTTTTTCGTAGTTGCTTTATAAGTTTCCGTATTATTTGCATAGGCAAGGCCTCTATATCTCTATGGTGGAAATGAAAGAATTCTGCTGATTTTGAATTTTAAAGAAATATAAGGAAATATATGCTAAAGCTAGCAAAAAAACAATTTGCAAGACCAATTTTTTAAGGTCTGTTTATAAGAAAGAGCTGGTTAAAGTGATAAAATTGGAAACTGCTGAAAGTTGCTTCGAGTCTTTCATAATGTGAAATGGCTTCTCATATGGACGTGTCATGTTTCTTTATGTATTTCCATCAGTTTATAATATCATCCATTAGCGCCCATTAGCAATTAATTGCACCAGTCGTCTGATTCTCATTTTATTTTATTTAGCAATTTCACATGTGCATACTGCCTTACTATCTTTTTTTCCTAAGTTCGTTCACACTTCTCTAAAGTTGTATCCGTGTAAAGAAAACAAGTATAAAAATTAACACATATTACATATACGTTTCTCAAATCGGACGTTTTATATTTAGAGGTACAAATAGAACGCGACTAGTTTAGCGGCACTTCGACAGATATAAAAGTATAAGAGACGTTTTTTAAAGAAGTTTACTTAGTTGTCGATACTATACATAAATTAAAAGAATAGAGTGTGTGACGTTTAGGGGATGAGTGCATGTTGCTTAGAACCAACTACTGAAAAAGAAACTGGCAATAGTTCCGCCAAACCAGATACACTGACCGATGTGTCGTATCTTTTATAATCACTGACGTACTGAACCTTTTTTGCGAAAACAAAGTCATGTGACAAAATGTATTTTGCGAGTATCATTTGTTTTGCCAAAAGATAATAGATGTAACCCCAAGACTTTTGTAGTTAGTTTTTTTATTTGTTTATAACTACCTTATATTTGGGAAAATCTACGCATTACGCTGAAGGAAATCGGTTATTTTAGACCCTTAAATTATTGTTGAACCGCCATCGATTACTATATTTTCGATTTATAGTAAAATACTTAATATTGATGATTGCAAAGCTATTTTAGAAACATTACAGCTGACTTTTATCGGCTCATACATTTGATGTTTTACATATAATACTTCATATGTACTTCATTTCTACTACTCCTGTACTTTTAGATAGAATTACTGTTTGAAACAAATTGAAAATCTCTTGCAATTTTCATTTCGAACAGATTGGCAACATAAGCACCATCTATGACTTAAACTGCTAACTTGTAGTTTATTTCTAGGACAAGGGCTCGCCACTATCGCAGCGGCTTCATGTGAAAAATTGATCGATAAACTGAGAGGAAATATAATTTCCATCCGATGGCACTGCCTTGTGTATTAATCACTTTAGTACAATTTGCCGGGTGGTTAATTTCCAAATTAAGAATGAGATGTCTCTAATGTTCAATTTTCAAAAGGTTTGGTTTTACAGATGTAGCTGCCAAATCTGTCGACGTTTCTAACAAATCCAATAACGGAATGAAATTCTATTATCCTGCTCATCACCATGTTTTACTCCGAAAAATTATAACTATAATGACTAGGAAATTTCATACAAATTTTAATATTATGACGTACTTTGGCCACTTTATCAGTCAACTCCACTGTTAGAGGGAATAATTTAAAAAATCATTTCATTATTATTGTTATTTTATTAAATTATCTATTAAGGGTTTCATACACTTGAACTTTGCTCTTCATTATTTATTATTGTTTTGTACAACTACGTTATTGTACATTGTGACGATAATTTGTATCACGAAAAATTCAAATAAGGGAACAAATAAGGGAAGGGCAAGACTGTCACAATGTTCAAATCGTGGTTTCTCTAAAAAGATGTATCCAAAGGAATCTGGAAAACTCTGTAAATATTTGTTCTTTAATAAATACATTTTCTCAGGTACGGTTGCAGGTCAGTTAGGTACTCGTCGTAACAGAGTTGCCTTTT